TGCTTTTTAAAATCTGAAATTGATCTAGTGTACTGTATGGGGAACCCTGAAATTGGTTTTGCTCCGCTGCTATGTCTGGTGGTCAACGTGGATTGTGGTGAACTAAACCGTATTCCAAGAATTTAATCATCATCCTTGTCGCAATTTTTCAGTATATTTTTGTCTGTTATTGTCTTGCTTCTATTTAGTATGCACTTAAATATTTCAGCCAAAGACCGATGACTTAATTTGCATATATACTCCGGAATAACTGCCATAATCCATGGCAAGCTAGCAAAACTAGCACACCGTTCGCTTTCGGAGGCAAACTCTAAGCTATTATACATTCGTACAAAAAATTTTCTGATTTTCTGCAACATGGTTTGTCCTTGCTAGGAACTTCTTTAAATAGTCCAGCAGGGAATGCTTCACTTGTGAAATACGACATTTAAGCTCAAGGATAAGAGTGCCTGTATAAAAGTTTGCCAGTCCCATCATTGATCCTATTTATTCTAATTGCTGGATGGAGTTAAATAGCGATAAAGGAGACAAGGAATGGTGCTAACTCGCAGTTGCGTCAGCCCTTGCTTTACTGTCAGGATGTTCTTCCGTTTTACTGGACAGTCTCCAAATGGGACAAAGTTGCGCATCCTGGCAAAACAACGGTGCTAATAAATAGATGAGAAAAATAGGCTATTAACTACTGTCAAGTTTCATAAATCTTTTAAAGAGAGAATTCACCGGATGCATGGGTTCAAGCTCCTATAGTAAGACGCCTGGTGTGGCAGAAAACACGTAATGATCATGAGGGAAGGATCCAACAGAAGGTTTTATCCATTTTGGGGAAGATTTCATGCCTTATTACAAGAATGTTAACGGAGTGCCAGCAGTAGTTAAATTTGCTGGTTGCAACTGCTTCTTATATTCGTCAATAGCCGTGCGTATAAAGGATTTCTATTTGCCTAATTCTTGCTTTGGTTTGAGTGAAACCTCCAAGTAAACGTCACAATGAATTACTAAGCATTCTAGGTGTTTCCAAACGGAGGTTACTGTGAGATGTAAATATTAAACACCATCTCTTGCCATCAGCGTCAAGTTCTCATCTGGCTTGTTTTCGCTGGAAAAGCAAGTTAGGATAGGATAAATGTGAACGCCGTCACTCGGATGGCAAGATAACACAGTGCACTGTAGATCAAGATCAACCGAATTTCAGGTCACTAAAGTCATTTGCATGTCTCTTCTGGATTATGTCATTTTAGGGAAGTCCGAGTTTAGCTAAGCGACATTGTAAACCTTAGTTCGCAATGATCGTGATGGCAGAGGCTCAAAACGCAGTGTTTAAAACGTAAATATTAGGTAGTTCCTTATAAATGACATTCAATCTAAACTGAACAAAACGACCAAACATACGAATGTTGTTTGATAAGCAAATTTCACTACTCCACCTAGAATGCGCTTGAAAAATTTTCGGTCAGATCTTCCTCCAACCAGGGAAAATCATCTTTATATATACGTGTATTTACACAAGTTAGAGTGGTTTGACTAGTCCAATAACGACCAACACTAAACGCCTTTAAAATGGTTTCGCCTTTTATACTCCCTAGTACGCTAGCTCCACAAGACGAAATTCGTTGGATTGGACTCTCGCCACAATTTCATATTGATTTTATCTATGAAAAACTGTAAAATGGTGTAATCTTATGGGGTTATGGAAAACGATTATTGATCATCTAGTTCTGACGTCTTTCTATCCCCTTGGTGACGTCTCTGTGCACCAATCCACTTATTTGGAAGGTGGATTATCGATATGTAGGAGTTTATACGAATGTAGTAAATAGCTTATTTGTTATTATTAGGATAAGTAAGCACACTTTGTTGCTGGTAAACTTTCGATTTGCCAATATCCGTCATATTCTTATTTTGCACAATGTGTCAGCCAGTGTACTTCCTATTTTACCGATGTTCGAAAAGGACATATTCAGACTGTGAATGGTGAATAAGCCGAAACAGGTTTATGACGAGTTAAACAAAAAGTTCATTGTTTACGGTGAATTTTTGTTTGTGTACAAAAAAGCAGAAACGATTTTTAGTTGACTGGCTGAGTTGCTCAAAGAAGAAGCGTACTCTAACCTGTTCGGGCGTCTATGACTGTTTAGAGGGATAAAATTGTATGTTTTGGTCTCCAAAAGTGTCAGTGCAAAAGTTTTTGAAGGTTTCCGCATCAACTTTCCGACCCATGAATTGAAACCTTGCTCAGGAGTTTGCAAAATAATCTTAGCGTACTACTGGTTTTGTCTCCCTTGGAGCTTATCATATTGGTATGGTCTTCGAGTTCCATGAGGTTGTACTTGAACACAATATTGGCCAAATACACTTGGTTACCAAATGATTTGGTGCTGTTTAAAAATGTGCTAAACTTGTTGTTTATGGTAACGTGTGATACATTGCGATAACTTGAATATTTTCTCAACAGGAATTTGGGTGATATTGGAGCGTCATATTCAGTGAGAGAGTAGCACACATGGGGATTCGGTTGAGTACTTCATTTCCAAGCGAGTGTTTTTCTTTGATTGATTCCATTATCAGTTAAAAATGAGTTTCTCAACTGTTGAAATAAACAGTCAGACTATCTATAGTTCATACAGAAGGCAAACCTAGGAGCACCCATTCTCCATACACTTGAGCTTTGCATCTCAACGTCTACCAAAATTCTGCCTTCTAACAATTCACACCTATGCTTTCTGGGAATCAGGATGACATCAACATCCCACCAACTGTAGGGGCCAATGTACATACACTTGTTTTAACAGGGCCCCCGATGTTACGGATACTGCCAGTCTAAAATACTTCATTGAAACTAACGTCATACTTCTGTTAATACTTTTAGCCAAGCACACTGCCAGCAATTAATTTTGAAGATTAAACTCTCCCTTATAAGGGGGTAACAAGCATATTAAAACCCACGCAAACAGCTCAGTTACATCTAACTAGAAGCGCAGCACGTAACGTTATTTAGACGTTTTTGTTGCTTGATCTGGAACACCCACCCGCGGCCTCAAATACCGGCTTGTGTGCGTGATCAGACGTCTCAGTGCACAAATTCAAACATCAAGTATCATCAAATACTCTAGGCGCATGATCATTACGCCGCATGCTAAGAAAATGGTAATTGTCCACGGCGCTTCGGAATCATGTGACTGAGTACGACCGAACTTACCCATATACATCTGGATCTAAGTGAGCGGCTCGCCAAAGCCATTTAAAATAATGATATGCTTGACAGAGTGGTATTAATGATATTCCCATCGTCTGTGATTTAAGCCCTAGCAAGAGAAAGCTGTCTCGGTAGCTCGACTGCCAGTGCAAGTAAAGATCTCACTGTGTCTGAATTACGTTTGACATTATTTGAGGTTGTGTTTAGGATAGTGAATTACTCGATAAACATGCACAGCCGTAAGGAAAAGCACACACTGACTAGGCACGGCTTGCTTGTTATGACAAATGATCATTTCTGAACCAATAAATGCAGGACTGTTGTATTTGATTACTAGAATTCTTTGAACAGTTGCTCAGAACTTCAGTAAACTTCGCTTATGACCATAAAGCAGTGGCTCAGAACTCTTCGGCTAATTTCATGGTAGCCAGGCAGTTGCTTATTTGGTGTATTCGATCAACAAGGTGGATAAACGTATTCTATATGTAAAATCTCTGAGCCAGCATTTCGAGCTTGAGTGTAAATATTTCGGTCCTCTCTAGGTTTGCGCAACCTGGCAGCACTCCATTCCTGGTGTTGATGTAGGCGGCACGGCAGCTATTCATCGGAACGTTGTTAAAAAGTAACGGCTATTTATTTATCATTAATAAAATAGAGCAATGAAAAGGCTTGCTATTTTATTCCATGGAAAGTGTGTATACCTCTTTGGGTGAATTCTGTGGCATTGTATTGCTCAGTTTTCGTAAGAAGCCGGCCTTCTTGAAAATTTTCAATAGGACAAAACGGTTCGAAACTTAAGAGCTGGTCAAACTGTCAGTTGCAGAACACCAGCGACCTTTTATATTCACGAATCAGAGCTACAATTCTTCTCACGCATTTTAAAGGTAAATCCGTCAACTCAGAAGATAAGCACATTGGTCCAAGGAGTTTGAAAGTTGAATGGTAAACTGCAGTTTAGGAAAACTACAGGCGTGCTCGTTTAGAAACAAGTTTGATGAAATTGTCACAATGTAAATCCTAAGATAAAAACAAACGGCACATGGCCAATTTTTTTACGTGCATTCTTAGATAAGGAACAAACATGTAACTTGGCACGATTTTGCTTTTGGTAAAAAAGGATATGAACACCAACGGCTGATTGTCACGAACAGTCAATACAACCTTAAACGAGTGGGCGAAACATTGTGAATTATTACTTGCAAATCTGACGACTTGTTTGTGAACCCCTAAATAATAATTTTGTGCCAAAATTGGATCTTAAATGAGTGCTGGAATGTTCAGAACTCTCACAGGAATTTCTCAGGAAATAAATTTATGAGTTGTTGCTGCCGTAAACATAAGCTCAGTATTAATACACCTATAAATTCAACAAATAGAAGGTATTTTATGCCTACGGTAAGGAAAGATTGAGTAGGAATCTAGTAGGTTAATGTATTGTTGTAAAAACAAGAAAATTAAGTTTCTGAAATGTTTCCATTTGCACTCTAGTTTCCTTACAACAAGAGCTGAGGAAGTGCTTGAGAAGTAGATAAACTATCCTTGGATAACAACTGCAAAAAATGGGAAAAATGGTAATGAGTCGCCTTTGCATTTTTATTGGGGTACGGACATGCGACAGTATGAAATCAACAGTGGAGATGTACACAGTTCGAAAAGCGCAATGGTCGCGGTATTTGTACTGTTAGCATACAGATTCTGCGCCGGTCAAATATGATAGCTAGACCAATATATCTTTTACAAGTTAGTAGCACATTTCTAGCAAGAAAGCTTTTGAGACGGACTGTATACATATGCCAAATTTACATACCTTTGGTACAGCGCGAATCGCTTTTTGAATTTGGAGTACCTGGAGGTAAACAGAGCCGCAAAACAAAGCCAAATGTCTAGAGTAATAAAATTCCGTCCGTGACCTAAACTTATTGTTACTTAGCGGACTTAAAAACCATCGACCCAAACAAATAACCCCAGACAACCAGCATATGCTTGAAGCTATGTTACGCCCAAAAATTTATTTAGGTTGTGACTGAAAACTTACTTGTTTTTGTGGGATGAACCTGTTGTCTTCATTTATTCTTACTAGTACCCAGAGCTAGCCGAAAATTTTGTGATGTTTTAAGCCCTGTATTTGCGGATACCATTAAACAAAGCTCACGGGATAATGGTCATAATCCCGACGGATTCACAGGGCAAGCGAACTTACAATCAAGAATATTTGTTTCTACGTGGAAAACAGGGCGATACTTTCAATTAGGCTAACAAAACCAACCTTGCTTGCTCCTAGTACGGCAGATTATTAAGCAGGCATTCGAGATAATTTTATACGACACAAGCGCGCGCCTACCCGTCGGGTGATAGCGATTCTGATTGATAATTGGTCCTAGCTAAGCTTTGTGCGATTTATACGGCCTAACCCGGGCGGTTTTTCCGCGACCAACCAAATTCATTCCAATGAATTCTATTGGAACTGTATGTCAGTTGCTCAGGTACCAGCTATTTTGTCATGAATAGACAGCAATGTATTCTAGTGCTAATTGGAGCATGCTTGATCAGCCGGGTGAAGGAAACTTCTGCAATACACTTGTACATCTATTGGCTTCCGCATGGGGGAATGCAAAGTCCTGTGATGAAGAATGACGGCCAAGTATAAACAAGCAGTATTAATTCGATTTTTCCAGCATGAACACTAATTTGACTTCAGAAAGGCGACGAATCACAGATGCAAAAGTACAGAACAAAGTACAAGAGAAAATAAATGTCTTGTTGAATGAATAGGTTAGACAAAACATTGTTGTGTGAAAAAAGTTCTGGGTACGTTTTTTTATAGCACATAAAGTCCACCTTACAATCCAGCTGATCGGATAAAATAATAGACAGCTTTTGCGAAAGTTTAAGCAACTAATCAACTTCTGTCCGATTTTGAAACAATTGCTCAGCGACATCCCTCATTTGATTGCTTTACTTTCATTCTACCAGTGGGTTGTCCTGTATAGCTACATTTCACCGATGTTTCTAGGTGACTTTCTAACACAAAACGGTGGGTTGTCAGAACTTTCCAAATAAGAAATAGATTTCTAATGCACCGATGTGCGTCATTTTGTGCTGACACGCATTTGCCTTTTTAAACGCTTCTTTTGAGAACTGATCGAATTCGTCGGAGAGCTCAAAATCTCATTTGAAATTTCACAGAACAGAAAGCCAGCTGCATATTAATTGTCAAAAATACAAACAAAAAGTATTTAGCTCAGGTATAGGGATCACGAACTAATAAAGTTTGATATAGATTTGATTATTATAAATATTATATGTGAAAACAACTAACAGTTTGTGCCACGGCACTAAGTTGTGACGATTGCTTTAAAACGTGCTTTGTCCAAGAGTGCTAAAGTGTGACATTACGCTACGGCTATAACAGGGGACGTCGGCATTCTGGCCAAGGCTTTGTACGGCATAAGAATTCATTGCAATTTCTGAAGTAAAAGTAGGTGTCTAGTGACATGCACCATAAGTTTTCTTTGATTAAAGAAAATGGAAATTATGGGGTCCAAACTGGAAGCAGATACGTTCCATGGAGCCTGAAACAACGGCCAAAAACCCTTCGATACAAAGGTCTTTTCCCAAAAGTTTTCTTCGGGAGTTTAAAGTGATTTTACTTTCAACCGAAAATTTTAAGCGTCATAACTTGCTCTACTTACCATTGCAAACCGCTTTTCTTAGTATTTTGCCTTCAGAGCTTCAGGTTTGCATTTAAGTTGAGTGTTCTTTGCACATTAGATAAACAGCTGTTAAAATTTACCCAGGCACTTCAAGTATGGTGTGTTAAATTAATACCCTTTTATACCATTCACGTTTAAGGTCAGCCTAAATGTCGTAGCTCCAAGAAAATTTTAATTTAGCCTCGTTTTAAATTGATGTCTCTAGATGAAGGCGATTTTTAGAGACTCACAATCTTGTTCAGCAATCTTCAGTTCAACGTAGATGGAACCACATGAGTCCTTCAAACTAGAGTTACGAAAATGAGAGCAAAAACCACATTCAGAGTTTAGTGTGTAGGACTAAACCCAAACAATTTTTCTGTACAAGGTGTTTGGACAACTTTCATAGATATTGTGTTGCAATTGAAACCGATCAGGGAAATTTATATGCCCCATATTTTTAACTTTCCTGTAACTTTCTGCAAAACTGCTTTCTCGTTGATAAAGAAGTGACAGATGTACTTTCATTGACTTGTCAAGTGTTTTGACTTATGCCAAAACAAAGCCGCCACAATACTAGAAACATGCTTTCGTGCCATTTTAAGAGCTGTTATTGGAGAACATGTAATGTTTTCAAAACAACAAGTTGCGCAGCATCAGATCTCCTTGATGTTGATCGCGGTGTAGTTGGAGTGCATATTGTCTTCGTGATGTCTGACGTACCCACCTTAGTACTCGCGGTCACACAGTCAAGTACGTTCAATTAGATGGTATCACCTGCGGAAAAAGTTTTTGCATACAGGGAGGCTTGACTGTGGGACGCATAGATTCAGATGCATAAATTCAACAGAGAGCTTGAATTACAACACACCGAGGAATTTCAAGGACCACAAACGAGATTGGAAATTCCAAAAGTATTTCACTAAGCCACGCCCATCATACAAAAACCCGCATATTCACACAGTTCCCCACGCACTTTTTTCAACTTATCAACACCACAGTTTCGACAGAGCTTGTCATCACCTTGTGGCTTGAATGTCATTCCTTGAACTGTATCCTGATACATTACAATGGAATTTGTTTGGAACATATGCTGATTTCAAAAGATCGGCCACTCGCAGTCAAAGTGAATATGTTACTTTGTAAATTTGACAAGTGTAGTCATGCCAACCGAGGCGATGTGTGAAGGGCTTCACTTTAGCAGGTACCAGCAGATGAAAGCTGAATATTTTTCTCTCCGTCACACCATTTTGTATGACTTTTCTGCAAATAATCTGCCTTATTTAAAGTAACTTAGTAGCGATAACAGTAAAAAAACGATTTAGTGAATAATTGCCGACTAGTGGTTATGACGGCGAGAATATTCATTTTACTGGTGCGAACACCTTGGGCCTCCACCTTTCAGAACAAACACCGTTGGCAAAACAGTGCTTTGTATCTTTACTTGCTTTTTACAATGCAAACTTATGTAGAACTTAGCTTTACATATTAGTTAAATATTACACATATTATTACATATTGCACCGTGTTAGTTTTACGGTGGATAGGGTGAGAGAAGCACATGAAAGATTTAATTCTGCTCCATGTCCGCTCTGCCAGTGACTGGTTAAAGTGCAATAGCAAGTAATTTCATCGTATTTTCTCTACAATAGGCGTTGATTATGATAAGCCTTCTCTTTGATCATTCGCCTCTCTGAAGCTAAAATTAATCCGAATATAGACTTCTGCCCTACATTCTTCCAGTACTATTTCTTCCGTTATTTTTCCTCACCACTAAGTGGCACATCAAGGTTTCCTTTGTTAGAAAGGCGATTTGTGGGTATACGTCAAACTGTAAGACAAATGCCTTTTTCTTCCAATCACTTAACAGACCACGCAGATGTTATCTATTCAAAGTTGACACTTGCGATCTTGTATCGCCAACGAAGTTGGACTATCGGTTCTTATACATTGTGGTCCGTTAACCAAACAATAGAATTTACGAAAATAAATGTACTTTTTGATTGTACGGTAATTTCGCAATGGATACCGGCTGTGCAAAAATTTCAGCTAATCTGTGTCAGTTTTCTACCTGTAGGATTCTCTGAGAGTGGTTATCTTGTCCTTACTAAAGCCACCCAGTTTGTAATATAATGCGGTTAAATGCAAACTTCGTAATCGTACACTATCCATTTTTAGCTGGTAATCAACCTCCACTTACTGCGGGTGGGCATGCGCTCCTGTCCAAGTGACGCTGTGGAAAACGCTTGCCCACCGCATTAAAGTATTGTTAAGATTGTCATTCACTATTCTTTATTTGGTTAAGACCAGTATACTCAGACCATTTTTTTTCGAAAAGTCAATTCGTGCAGCAATGATTACTCAAAATCTTTGAGGGCTGACAGAACCACATGTAGTTTATGTTGGCTATCTTCGTTACATAACCACTTATGGTCACTCATATCTTCAAGTTTTTTGACAACCAAAATACCATGATGATATCCCAAGCCTGTAAAAGTTAACGGCAGCTCAAAGGTGACGACTTTGAACGCGATACTATGCTGTTACTTTGGGTTTTAAAACCAAACATTTTCATTCCGTTCTCCTTCCGTAGCGAAGCGCATTTGTTTACAGCTAATGGTGTGGCATACCGTAAAAATTAGGCGATTACATTACCTTGACAACAGCGTAATGTTTAGCCAAATGTCGACAAGTGTCGCCAAGCTAAGTTGACCTGCTGCCCAGAGATATGGACCAAGTTCTAAACTACTGTTTCGCCGCCCTCAGTTTGTCCACACAGTTCTATTGAAGAGCGATCAGCCCAGGGCTTCATAAAAATTGGATGTTTCTGGTGATCGTCATGGCTACTGGGACTTCTCCTAGTGATCTGCAACAGTATCGAGCGAACCGGCCATATTACCTGAGTTTAATCGTGCCCAGCTGTTCAGACATGGTGTTCTTAATGTTGATCCAAATTCAGACACTGACGATGAACCATAGTACCCTCAAGTTTTGAATTCAGTGCTTGAAACCTTTGGCGTAAGAAGAGCAATTGTTCCAAAACGGAGAACTATTTTGGCGACTGATATAAATAGAAAGAAACAAATATAAATTCCACACCGATCCACGACGTTCAAACTGCAAAACCATTCCTAGTAAAATCGTTTTCATGCAC